GATAGTATAAGTGTTTAGATAAAAATATCTTGATAGTTTCTTTGAAACTATGCTAATTTCAAAGTAAAATTGTAATGTCAAGGCCCATCTTCGCTAGCCAAGGGTTTCTGATTCACTACTCTACTCCCAAACGTACTGCCAAAAGTTTGGGACTTCTTCTTAAGTTGTGATTGGAGTGAATTGATATTGTTTAATCAATCAGCAAATACTTTTGTAAATAACAATATCTCCATTCGGGATCTTGACTCTTTCGTCTCGGGAATGAAAAACACAAGTAAACAACAATCCATAAGATAACTCGGCACTGCCATTTCTAAATAGCTATGGTGTCATCCATCTTTGCACTTAATGTCATTAGTAATCTATATCGCAGATACAGATTTGCACAATACATACCAAATAAACATAACTAATACCTGCTTATTAATCATTCTTTAAATATTTTTATTTTAAGATCGCTTTTTAATTCTGTCGATGATGCTATGGCAAGATTTGAGATCATGTGATGTAAACAATCCCGACTTTTTACAGCAGCATTGGCCAAGGGTTTATGAGAATAGTGGTGGATCAGAAGCCCTCGGCTAGCAAAGATGCGTCAAAGCTATATGAAAGATCAGGGTAAAAAAAATTGATGCAGTTGAAAAGCTCTCCCCAACATGTATCAGCATACTTGATAAATATATCTTGAAAAAATGATTTGAAACTGAGCTAACACAAATTTAATAATAGTAAGGTTATGGAGAAGGTCAAGGTAAAAAAAAATTGAAGCAATTGAATAGTTTGCAGTAATATGTATCAGCATATGAAGTTTGATATATATACATCTTTATCTTAAATAGTTTGAAACTAATTTGAAACTGAGCTAAATGCAATTCTAAGAAAAGTGAGATCAAAAGTAAGGTCAGGGTCAAAAATGTTTACAAGGTCAAAACATTTGATGCAGTTGAATAGCTCTCACAAATATGTATTCTGTATATAAATTTTGATAAAAATATCTTGAATAGATTTTTAGGGAATGAGCTAAATGCAATTTTATAAAAAGTAAAGGTCATAGGGAAGGTCAAATTAGAAAAGATTGGTGGAGTTAAAAAGCACTCACCAATATGTATTAATATATGTAGTTTGATAAAAATATCAGAATAGCTTCTTTCAAACTGAATGAAACGCAAAGGATCCATTCAAATTTCAAAAGAGAATTGACCTATAGGAGAAAACAATTTCCCAGAAAAGTTATTTATTTTAAAAATCAATGTTCATTAGTTATTTTCTACCACACATATGTCTAAATTTTTAAAATTTCATTTCTGCACATTAAATTTATCATTTACAATTTAAAATTAACCTTCAAATTGGCTAAAACAGCATTTTCTCTATTAAAACACTGATTTTTGTATGAATTTTGGCCTAAAACTCCTTCAGGACAGACCTGTCCCTAAATAAAATTATGATATTTTGATAGGTCATGATCTAAAGAATACAAGTAATTTCAAATAGGATTTTTTAGGGGCACCCCTTCCCTAGGGTAAAGATTCACCAAAAACCAAAAAATAAGGAAACCTATTTTTGACCTGGTTTATATTCATACCACCTATTTTCATTGCCAGAATAGCTTGAATGGTATCACCACTGATTATTAACACTGCAGGTACCTTTTTAGAGTTGTGGTTCAAATCCACCTGGAGCCACACTTTCATTGTTTAAATTCTCACCTTTTTAAACACTATTTTAATTTTTTTGTAGGGACATCAGTTGTCTATCTTTTATGCATGTTCATTCTTGACATAAAAGACATTAAAGAGAAAGCAAATTGCATATTCCAATGTACCTAAAACACAGTCAAGCAGAACTATACCTCAGTATAGCACACTTTCTTCAAGGACAAGAATAAGTCATTCTTTGTTACTTGATACAGGTCACATAATTTATGTCTGCAGTGAGCTGCAGTGGATTTCTATTGTATAATTTAGGTGTTCCTTAGAATTTTATCAATTAAGTGAATTTCCTTTCATTCCATCTATACTACTAGTACTTGTCTGGGTTATTGAGCTGTAAGTATAGGTATTCCTTGTATTATTTGAACTTAATATATTTACAATTGCATTTATTTTTGTCATCAATGTTATAACTTCAGATCTCAAATTTTGAAGCAGTATGGCTACATATCAGTAACTGCATTTAATTCGTATACATCAATAGCATGTTTTTATGATTTCCCTGGAAAGGTGGTGTAAAAAAACTCACATCAAGAAGAAAATGAAGACTATTGACATTACTATTACACTGAAAAGTGAAAAAAATATCAAATAACATTTCCAGATAACAATCTCAAAATGCATCGACAATATCAGTATCATGCTACAATGTACATTACTTAATGTTTATGAAAAGATTTCCCCTATCTCTACATTGATCTCAAAATGCATCAGCAATATCGATATCATGCTACATAGTTAATGTTTATGAAAAGGTTCCCCTATCTCTACAATTTATTACATGCATTGGCCAGAATTAAAATTATGTATGAGAAATGAATTAGTTCATGTATGCAGCCTAAAGTCATTGACCCATGGAAATTGAGAAGCTTTTTGTAAAGACTAAAACCAATTCTTGTCCAATAGGTCAGTGCTTTTCAGTGATCCTTTAAGAAAAGTGAGGTCAAAATCAAATGAAAGGTCAAGATCAAATAATTTTGATACAGTTGAATAGTTCTCTCTAATATATATCAGCAAATGAAAGTTTGACAAAAGTATCCTGAATATTACAGTTCCTTTGAAACTGAGCTAAACTCAGATTTAAGGCTAGATGTGTTGTAACACCACCAATGCCCCCGCAGGCAGCCAAAATTAAGTTCAAGAGGGATAACTCAAGTCAAAAATCATTGGACCATGGCCAAATTCGAACTTGACCTGCACATTGCTATGACATATCATTATGTCAATTTGAGTTGAATGTGTGCAACTGTTGCCGAGATAATGAATGGAAAGTCAATGATGATGGAATGACAGAATGATAGAACAGGGTAACACTATATGTCCCCGGCCATTTTATGGTGGGGGTATAAAAAGTGAGGTCAAGGAAGGGAAGGTCAAAGTCAAAATATTTTGATATAGTTAAATAGCTCTTACAAAAATGTATCAGCAAAAGTAAGAAATTTGATAAACTAGAAATATGTCCATAGGACATGAATGCCCCGCCAAAGGTATATTAGTAATGCAACATGAAAATTTGTATTAGTGTATGAAATTTGATGAGAATATCTTGAATAGTTTCTTTGAAATTGAAATTGAAATCTAAAAAGTTGGATATAGATAGTAAATTCTCGTCAAATTATGTAAAAGTGCATACACTTACAAAAATATATCTTAAATGGTTTCTTTAAAATTAAGCAAAATGCAAATCTAAGAAAAGTGAGGTCAAGGTCACAGGAAAATTCAAGGTCAAATGTTTTTGATACAGTTGAATACTTCTCACAAATATGTATCAGCATATTTATGTTTGATAAAAATATTTAGAATGGTTTATTTAAAACTGAGCTAAACACTAATTTAAAATACATGAAGTTAAGGTCAAAGGAAAGGTCAAGGTCAAAAAATGTTGATGCAGTTGAAAAGGTTACATTAGTATGTATAAGCATATGAAGTTTGATAAAAAAAATTATGAATGTTTTCTTTAAAACTGAGTTAAACACAAATTGAGAAAAGTGAGGTCAAGGTCAAAAGAAATGTCAAGATCAAAAAATATTGATCCAGTTGAAGCTTACATCAGTACGTATCAGCATATGAAGTTTGACACTAATTAAAGAAAAGTGAGGTCAAGGTCAAAGGAATGGTCAAGGTCAAAAAAAGTTGATGCAGTTGAATAGCTCTCATCAGTATGTATCAACATATGAAGTTTGATAAAAATATCTTGAATGATTTCATTAAAACTGAGCTAAACACTAATTTAAGAAAAGTGAGGTCAAGGTCAAAGGAATGGTAAAGGTCAAAAAATGTTGATGCAGTTGAATAGCCTACATCAGTATGTATCAACATATGAAGTTTGATTACACTCTCTTGAATGGTATCTTTAAAACTGAGCTAAACACTAATTTAAGAAAAGTGAGGTCAAGGTCAAATGAAAGGTCAAGGTCAAAAATGTTGATGCAGTTGAATAGCTTACATCAGTATGTATCAACATATGAAGTTTAATTACACTATCTTGAATGGTATCTTTTAAACTGAGCTAAACACTAATTTAAGAAAAGTGAGGTCAGGGTCAAATGAAAGGTCAAGGTAAAAAAAATGTTGATGCAGTTGCATAGCTCTCATCGATATCTATCAGTATATGAAGTTTGATAAAAATATCTTGGATATTTCTTTGAAACTGAGCTTTGAACAGAGCTAAACGCAAAGTGTGACGGAAGGACAGACGGAAGGACGGATGGAAGACGGACATGACAAACACTATCTGCCCCGGCCATATTCATGGCGGGGCATAAAAATATCTTGGACAGTTCCTTTGAAACTGAGCTTAATAACAAACACTATATGCCCCGGCCATATTCATGATGGGGCATTAAAAATACTTAGTAACATTTTTTAAGCATTAAACCTTTTCTGTATCAAAACTAAAGTGTTTATTGCAAAAAAAATTTGAATCTTATTCTAAAAAAAAAGAATAAGCTATATTCAGATTGATTTTATTGAAGTAATTGTTAATACTTAAATAAAATGTTATTCATTTAGATTTTGGGCAAGCTTATTGCAGTGTAAAAATATATGAATTCAAAAATAAATCAGAATTGTTTTGCACACAGTAAACACAAGTACTACTTTTCAGTGAAGGTTTTTTAGGGGGAAAGCCTAAAATAATTCATTCAATTCTAAAACATCAAAAACCTGCAAATACATGTATTGGAATGAAAATGGCCACTGAAGCATAAAGAACATCAATATTATACAAAAAAATATTTTTTTAAATGAAACAAAATAAGTAGAGTGTGTATTAATAAACAAACTTCATCCCAATGCTATTCTTTAAAAAAAAATTTGGACATATAATACATGTAATAGCACTTTTTCACAAAATTTAAAAGGTAAACTACAAGAAATGTTGAAAAATATATAACCACATATATTTTTCTTTCTTACATGTATTAGTTACAAAGTAACTCAATGGCATCAAAAATCTTTTTTAATTCATTCATTTTTACTCTATAAACCTAATATCAATTCAAATAGTTTCAGTTTCAAACAACTTTGAAATAAGTCCTTCTTATCTTGTACACATTTTGTGTTATCACAGGTTAAGGATAACTAGGTCTTCAACTGAGATTCTACAACCACTTCTGCTCCCATGACAAATGCAATCGTCTTGGACTAAAACAATACCATGTACACATGAACCTACACAGGCACTGATTGTTCTCAACCCAAATCCTGACAATCTGATGCAGTTTCAGGTGTCTGTCTCCATGGCCTGACACCTCAGCTGACATTGTGCAATCTCCCGCAGGGCTTCCTGGATACGGTCCAATAATTCCTCTCCATGGCTAACCACCTCCTCCAGTTTTCTAGCCTCTTCTTGATTCTCTGCCTCCAAACGTCTTAAACTCTCCAACTGACAACAAAAAAGTCAAAAACTTTACCTTACAGTAGAAATACACCCTATCAAATTTCACACCTACTCTCAATTTTAAATTTCACAAGGACAGTTTTACTCACCACTTGTAACAATATTTAATCATTTTCCATTGTCAGATTTTACATTTTGCAAAGTTTATAACTTTATATTTGATAAGAAACTATACCTGGACTTTGTGGGACGATTCCTCACTTGGTAAGGAGTCAATCAAAGTGTCAATGTCCTTAGCTGTTCTGGCTATTAGTTTTGCAAATGTTATTGCATAGTCTGAAATGAAAAACAAAGGCTCAATAGCTACACTCAAATCTGTGTAAGCCAAGCGTTTTACCTCCTCTATGCTAGCCTTAGCCCCTTAGTAGATTATATCACTAGAATAGGGGTAAACAAAGGCCACATCATAAATTTTACTCTAGGTTCCAACTAGTAAGGATATGGCTTTAAAAGTGCATCCTGGTATCCACTGTAAACAAAAAATGTTGGTGCAAATGAAAGCAGAGATAGACGAACAACAAGAAGTAATTAAGCTTAAAAAGTTCATAAACTCTCTGCTCACTCATATTAAATTTTGCTTTAACACTCATAATTTTCCAAAAAGAAATCTAATTTATAATAAAAATGCACACTACTTCAGGATACCTTGTGGGGCAAAACTTGACAGAAATTGCCTTTTAACTTGACAATTTTATAAAGGAACAATAGTCATTTATCACATGTGTAGGCCTTTATACAGTGGATATAGCTCATAGGAAATCATTTTCATATCCGCAGTTGTGTTGTCACAATGGTTTTTATGTGAATTAGATCAGGTCAAATATTGTGGATTTACAAATAAAAACAGACTTACAGTATTAGAGTAAAACATGAAATATCTATGTGTAAAACGTGTGATAAACATAGGTAATCAAAGATTACGAAGCTCACCTCGACGAATGTTATCAGTAAAAGTAATGCAAATCTCACATCATATTTTCTTTATAGTTAGTGTGCATCCTGAAAACAATATTCATGCAAGTTTTGTGTAAGTAGGTCTTATAGTTCGTTGGGAATTGACCTGTTCCAAAAACTTTAACCTGTTCACTACCGGTAATCAAGAAAATATGGGTGAATTAAAAAAAAATGACCAAACGCATATTTATCAACCCACACTAAAAATGCAGGCAATGAAAATAGATTTCTATGTCTCAGCATATGTCTTTAGATAGTGTCTAAATACCTGCCAAATATCTCGTTGATATCTCAATTAACAAAAAAGTTATGCCCAAAAATGATGCTAAAATTGTCAGGAGTGCAACACCTTTTTGTGACATTTTGAAATTTCAATATTTTTTGGAGATCTGTGAAATAAATAATAATGCTTTATGTTGAAAATAAAGACTTTCCTGATAATATTCAAAGTATTGAGCTTTAAATGTGGGCTGTAGTAACTTTTGTTTAATCAAGTTGTTGTCATGGCTGATGTTTAAAAAAATGTCATACCATGTCAGGAGTGCAACAGAAAAAATGTAGTGTTGCCAAAAAAACATCAATTGTAAAATTCTGAAAGAAAATTAAGACAAAAAAGAATTTTCAAAGTGTAAAACAATAACTGATAGACATTTTAAAACTTAAAAATGTTATATAAATCACAAGCAGCATTAATTAGAGTCAAGTATATGTGCATACCCAATAATGTCAGGAGTGCAACATTTGATGTTTTGCTCCCATGCATGAAAAAACTATTATCTTTATATGATTTTCTGATTTTTATTTTGGAAAAGAAAGACACAAAGAAAATTTTTACCAAATAGATTTATCAATTACAGGATCTGTCTGTGCTTCAGATCAATATTTCTATGGTCAGGAGTGCAACACATTTTTTTAAAGATTCAAGTTGTGTGACAAAAACACTTCTATTCATGCTTAGACGTATTCATTAATTAATAATGATCTTTTTGTATAATTTAATACTAAATTATTGACAGTTTTATTATTAAAATCCTTCCTTTTTCAATTTTATCAATTCAGATGTGTTTTTATCTTTTTTGTGATTTTTTTAATGAATGTTAAAAATAAACACACTAAAACATTGTCATACAAGATGTGTTTGTGAAACACTGATGCCCCCGTATGGCAGCTTATGGCGAAGGTTAAAGTTTCTTCAAATGCAAGTCAAAATCCAGGCCAAAAGATAAACATAGGTAATCAGAGATTACAGAGCTCACCTCAACGAATGTTGTCTTTAAGTAAGGCAAAGTCCCACACTAAACTAATAATCTAGGAGTGTGCATCCCTAGATGCAACATTTATGCAATTTTGGTCTGATAGGGCTTGCAGTTACTTGGGAATGGACTTATCTGAAAACTTAAAACTAGACACTCATTCAGAAAATGTAAGTCAAATCCAGCATCCGAAGCAAGTTTTGAGATTGCTCGTCCCTTGATGCATCATCCATGCAAGTTTGGTTTAGATAGGCCTTATAGTTACTTGGAAATGAGATCTGCTCCAAAAACTTTAATCTGGTCACTCATCCGGAAAATATAGGTCAGATCCAGCATCTGAAGCAAGTCCAGTAGTGTGAATCCTAAGATGTATCATCCATGCAAGTTTGGTCAATATAGGGTTTATAGTTACTTGGATATGACATCTGCTCCAAAAACTTTAACCTGGTCACTCATCCGGAAAATATAGGTCAGATTCAGCATCTGAAGCAAGTTCAGTAGTGTGCATCCTTAAATGTATCAGCCATGCAAGTTTGGTCAATATAGGGCTTTTAGTTACTTGGAAATGGGATCTGCTCCAAAAACTTTAACCTGGTCACTCATCCGGGAAATATAGGTCAGATCCAGCATCCGAAGCAAGTCCAGTAGTGTGCATCCTTAAATGTATCATCCATGCAAGTTTGGTCAATATAGGGCTTTTAGTTACTTGGAAATGAGATCTGCTCCAAAAACTTTAACCTGGTCACTCATCCGGAAAATATAGGTCAGATCCAGCATCCGAAGCAAGTCAAGTAGTGTGCATCCTTATATGTATCATCCATGCAAGTTTGGTCAATATAGGGCTTATAGTTACTTGGAAATGAGATCTACTCCAAAAACCTTAACCTAGTCACTCATCCGGAAAATGTAGGTCAGATCCAGCATCCGAAGCAAGTTCAGTAGTGTGCATTCTTAGATGTATCATCCATGCAAGTTTGGTCAATATAGGGCTTATAGTTACTTGGAAATGAGACCTGCTCCAAAAACTTTAACCTGCTCCAAAAACTTTAACCTGCTCCAAAAACATTAACCTGGTCATTCTTTAGCTGAAATTGCAGCATCTGAAACCTTGACTGGTACAATGAAACACACTAGAAGCATCCTCCATGCATCTCTGACTAATATAGGCCATAGAAGTACTTGAAAAGAAAACTGCTCCAAAAACCTTAACCTGGGACGCCGACACCGACGCCGAGGGTATTACATAAGCTCCCCCAACTTCGTTGAGGTGAGCTAAAAAATGTTGATACCCAAAGAAAGGTCTTGTCTCAAGGAATACACCTGTGAAATTTGAAAGACCTAGATACAACTGTTCAAAAGTTATGGCCAAGGTTAAAGTTTTTTAAATAAAAGTCAAACGTCAAGGTCAAGGTCAAAGTGGTTGGTATCGAAAGGAAGATCTTGTCACAAGGATTACATATGTGAAGTATGAAAGCCCTAGCACCAACCATTCAAAAGTTATGGCCAAGGTTAAAGTTTTTCAAAAGTAGGTCAAACTCCTAGGTCAAGGTCAAAGGGTCAAAGTGGTTGATATCCAGAGGAAGGTCTTGTCACAAGGAATACACATGTGAAGTTTGAAACCCTAAGCACCAGCTGTTCAAAAGTTATGACCAAGGTTAAAGTTTTTCAAAAGTAGGTCAAGGTCAAAGGGTCAAAGTGGTTGGTACCCAAAGGAAGGACTTGTCACAAGGATTACATATGTGAATTATGAAAGCCCTAGCATCAACCATTCAAAAGTTATGGCCAAGGTTAAAGTTTTTCAAAAGTAGGTCAAATTCCTAGGTCAAGGTCAAAAGGTCAAGTGGTGGTTGGTATCCAAAGGAAGGTCTTGTCGCAAGGATTACATATGTGAAGTATGAAAGCCCTAGCTCCAACCATTCAAAAGTTATGGCCAAGGTTAAAGTTTTTCAAAAGTAGGTCAAACTCCTAGGTCAAGGTCAAAGGGTCAAAGTGGTTGATATCCAGAGGAAGGTCTTGTCACAAGGAATACACATGTGAAGTTTGAAACCCTAAGCACCAGCTGTTCAAAAGTTATGACCAAGGTTAAAGTTTTTCAAAAGTAGGTCAAGGTCAAAGGGTCAAAGTGGTTGGTATCCAAAGGAAGGTCTTGTCACAAGGATTACATATGTGAATTATGAAAGCCCTAGCATCAACCATTCAAAAGTTATGGCCAAAGTTAAAGTTTTTCAAAAGTAGGTCAAATTCCTAGGTCAAGGTCAAAAGGTCAAAGTGGTGGTTGGTATCCAAAGGAAGGTCTTGTCGCAAGGATTACATATGTGAAGTATGAAAGCCCTAGCTCCAACCATTCAAAAGTTATGGCCAAGGTTAAAGTTTTTCAAAAGTAGGTCAAACTCCTAGGTCAAGGTCAAAGGGTCAAAGTGATTGATATCCAGAGGAAGGTCTTGTCACAAGGAATACACATGTGAAGTTTGAAACCCTAAGCACCAGCTGTTCAAAAGTTATGGCCAATGTTAAAGTTCTTCAAAAGTAGGTCAAACTCCAAGGTCAAGGTCAAAAGGTCAAAGTTGTTGGTATGCAAAGGAAGGCCTTGTCACAAAGAATACACATGTGAAGTTTGAAACCCCAAGCACCCACTGTTCAGAAGTTAAGGCCAAGGTTATAGTCTCATAAAATTTTGCAAAAGTGGGTCAAACTCAAAGGTCAAGGTAATAAGGTCAAATATGATGGTACCCAAAGAAAGGTCTTGTCACAGGGAATACACATGTGAAATATGAAAGCCATAGCTCCAACCAATCAAAAGTTATGGGCAAGGTTAAAGTTGACAACAGACAGACAGACAAACAGACAAACAGACAAACGGACAAACAAACAGACAAACAGACAGACAGGACAAAAACAATATACCCCCGGGATCTTTCGATCCGGGGGCATAAAAATTCAAGTAATTCCTCCTCAACTTCACTGAAACAACAGAACAAGTTCTTATGTAATTTTCACTTCACAATTCTACTTTAAAGGTCCCAATACTTTTGGTCAGGAGTGCAACAAATATGTTAGAATTATAAATCATCCAGTAAGAATAAAAATAAAGAAAAAATGATGAGTAGAATTTTTTTCGTGGGTTACTGTGTTTGTCCTCTTAAGGAAAATCTGCTATAAAATATATTTTATCTTCTAAATATACATTTAAGTTAGTTTTTTGGCATAAATAGAGAATAATTCCAGATAAAATATGAATTTCAAATACTTTCATCCATTTTAATTATGAAGTATTGGACTATAAATATTGCACAATTTCATTACCACTTCATGTTGCCAACACTTTATGAATTTTTGTGTTCTACGATTTTAATTTTAAATTTTACTGCAGTCAGGAGTGCAACAAAACTGCTTTATAATTACCAATGCTTTTTAATCATCTTTACTAAAAAATGAGTTGAAAAAATGTTTGATACTATTTGATGTTCAAAACACTATGTCTATCAACAAATTACAGAAATTTTCTAGTCAATTCAGGGAATAGTTTTCATCATTTCACATATAGTTTTATATACAATTTATGTATATTACACTTTGCAAATAATCATGTGTTAAGGTCTTCAAAATATGAAAAACCTGCCGTAAACGATCAAAAATATCAAAATGACAAATTAATTTACAAAGTAAGAATGGGTTATTGTGTGTTATAATTTTTAAAACAATGTCAAATAAAATACATATCAGATGTCAGGAGTGCAACACAATAATGTAACATAGGGTCACTTCAAAATCTAGTATTTTTTGTAAGAGAACTCGTTTATAAAAATTCTTTTTTGGCTTAGATTTAAAGAATTGGCTTGAACGGACAAAAAAGTGAAATTTGGGGAATTTTATTGCTTCATATTTTTTTCATATTAAAACTTTTCAAACCAGAATTGAAAAAATAATGTAAAATAACAATCAAAAAGCCAATTTTTTGTCACACATACAAGAGAAGATACTCAGTCAAGGTCTAGATTTGATCATTTATACCCCTTTTACCATTATGAAGCATAAAAAACTATAATTTCTTGTGATTATGTATTTTAGAAAGTCTTTTAAGGTGTAATGATATTTTCTTTTTTCAAAAGAAATTTTACTAATAAAAATTCTGAAACTTTTTAATCCAATTGTCTATTCTATTGCCACTTCAGGATTTTAAAATAGAATGCATGTGCATTATGATGATATAAGTGAAAAATATGTTAGAAGTAGCTGAATTTTTCCAAAAAAATTCAGTTTGGTGGTCATTTTTTTTTAATTCACCCATATCTTTCATTTCATACATACGAAGCAAGTCTGGAATGCACCATCTATGCAAGATAAATCATAACAGGCCATATAAATAATTATAGAGCTACTCCAAACACATTGTCATGGTTACTCATTTGGAAAATATATGTCATATCCAGCATCCGAAGCAAGTCCGGTAGTGCCCATCCCTAGATACATAAACCATGCAAGTTTGGTCCAGGTAGGGCTTATAGTTACTTGGGAATGGACTTGCTCCAAAAACTTTAACCTGGTCACTCATCTGGAAAATGTAGGTCAGATCCAGCATCCGAAGCAAGTCTGGTAGTGTCTATCCCTAGATGCATCATCCATGCAAGTTTGGTTCAAGTAGGGCTTATAGTTACTTGGGAATGGACCTGATCCAAAAACTTTAACCTGGTCACTCATCTAGAAAATGTAAGTCAGATCCAGCATCCGAAGCAAGTCTGGTAGTGTCTATCCCTAGATGCATCATCCATGCAAGTTTGGTCCAGGTAGGGCTTATAGTTACTTGGGAATGGACTTGCTCCAAAAACTTTAACCTGGTCACTCATCTGGAAAATGTAGGTCAGATCCAGCATCCAAAGCAAGTCTGGTAGTGTCCATCCCTAGATGCATCATCCATGCAAGTTTGGTCCAGGTAGGACATATACTTACTTGGGAATAGACTTGCTCCTAAAACTTTAACTGGGACGCCGACGCTAACGCTGACGCCGACACCAACGCCGGGGGTATAGCATAAGCTCATCTGGACTTCATTGAGGTGAGCTAAAAAGAATCTCCCATGATTTGTGGTTGGATATGGGAGATCCTACATTTATCCCAGTTAGAGTTACCTCTTTTATCAGATTATCAGAGTGACAAGGAACCTTAAAGTGAGAATATGATGTTATAGTATATTTGGGTGCAAGAACAGGGAACAGTCAACTGTCTATATATGGATGTTCTATATGACCTAATATTTACATTTCCAATGTCTTTGTCCGAGATAAAATTAAATATTGTAAAAATACTTTATTTCTACATAAATCTACTGGTTCATCGATAGGTGTGGTTAAAAAAATCACGTGCGGGGCGGGACAAATAGAGACAGAAGCGGAGCTATTAGCACGGGAATTTGCAGAATCAGGAGCATGTAAATATAAGGAATAACTGTCAGATTTTTTGGATTCATGACGATGATCAATCAATTGGCTTGCGTGATAATTTTATGCATTAACGCCTTCAGCGTTTATGCAAATTATCACGCAAGCCACTCGATTGATCACATCATGAATCTGAAAAATTAGTTATTCCTTAAATACAATGTGACAGTTGTCTTTTCATAGGCTCCAGGGTCTAGCTTGGAAAAATTGAAATATTGGACAGTTTTTGTGGCATAAACTGCCAAAGTTTTGTTGGCAGTGTAGCAGAATGAAAACCTTTGGGCCTTCAAGATGTTATATACTTCAAACAAGAATTTCTACTATCTTTTAATCCTTAAACCATGACTTAAAAATATTCCTATTTGCAATGAAATTTCTTTTTCAAATAGTTTTTTTTCCTTTTTATCACAAAGTGATAAATTTTTTTTAAACATAAAGCATGATAATCAATTTGAATATTTCTCTGAGTCAAATATTCAAATTACTTCATTGAAGTTGATATTGATAGGTTAAATAATAGTAGAATACATGTATAAGTACTTTGAAATGTCTTCCTCTAAGAAAAAAGAATAAGCAATTAATTTTTAAGCACTGTCTGAATAAGTTGGATTTATAATAATTCTTAAATTTGTTTTCTTCAATTTACTGCCAATTCTGTGTTCCATTTCAGTTTATATATCATTTTTTCTTCATTGTACAAATGTTTCACCTTCTTGCTGGATTTCTGATGGGGACTTTCCTGGCTGCTTGTCAAAGCCATCAAATTTGCTGGGAGGTGAGCACTGCTGCAACACTCCGATACTATTACAGAAATGATCTGCAAGCTGTAAAGAAAATTATATAAAGGTCAATCTCAGAACTTCAAAGAACTGCAGACATTATCAATAAAATCTCATAAGTCGAATTGATTTTTATCATGTTAATGGTTATTAAAAACATTTAAGGATGGTAGGGATGCAAGAACTGAAAAAAATTCCCTGAGAAACAGCACCAGCTCCAGATCTGGTTCTCAAAATATTACTTTGGACACATCCAAAAAAGTCAAAGAAAAATCAAACAAGAAGCCTATGGACCACAATGCTTTCCTGAGTCACTATGGCCCTGCTGTTTTTCATCAACATATTTTTTATAATTGGGGTGCTCCTAATTCAGAGGAGGGACTTCCGAGAAGTAAGAAAGAACACTAATCTTTAACAACCAATGATCCTTGTTTAATACATATTATAGCAATTACTACCTTGTAAGCTGTCAAAATGATGCTGACATTTATGGGATTTAAAACGAAAGTTGAATGGTAGTTGAATACCAATCCCGATCAGAATCAAGACGAAAAAAAAAAAACCAGAAAAATTTTAACAAATGGAGGCGGGTGTAAAAAAAAAATCGGGCGGGTGGGATGAGAATCTAGGAATCTTTTTATTATGGCCTAAATGAAATGAAGATAACTAGTTAAATCTGTGTCATAAAATGAAAATCATGTTGTTAAAACAATGATCAAGCATACATACAGAGTTATCATGTGAGATAAAAAAAAAAAAGGTTAATAATCTTTACTTTTCATAAGTCTATAAAAAAAAGTGTTAAGAATTTATCTTACTAAAAGGTATTCTGTTATGTTCAAATGCTAAAATGTTTATGGCGGTTACAACAGTTATAAAATGTAATCCATTTCTAATAAGTGTTTAAAATATATAGCCTTAATTTTATTCCATCTTGCCTGGTGCAGGGCATAAATGTAATCCTTGGCAAGTTTTTCCAATTTTAGGAGCCATGGGTTTATTACAGTTTGCCTTGCATTTGTATCAGGCATGTAGCATGTACAGTCTATAATAAGATGCATTAACTTTTTCTTGTCTGTTGAGATTCCAAGAATATTTGTATTCTTCTTGAGCAAGTTCTGTATTTTATTCATGTAAAGTTCTCTTCTCTTAATACCTAAGAGCATGTTCTGAGTACTATCAATTTTAATCCGAGGCAGACTACCGACAGACAAGTTGATGTTACAGGGATTTCAACAACCTTGTTTAAAATCAGCATTTTTGTCAATTTTATGGTCGATATAATGACCTTGTTGGCAAATATGACCTATCATTAGGCTTTTGTTTTAAATACAGAATGTACCGTCTTCTTGATCAATACATAGGGCTCACGGCGGGTATGACCAGTGAAAAGGGGATGCTTATTCCACCTAGGCACCTGATCCCACCTCTGGAATTTCCAGGGGTCCGTGTTTTATGCCGTCTTCTCAGAATTGTTATCTCTATAGATTTTTTTGAGATTGATCACTGTTTATTATCTTCACTTGTTTCACTTAATAACGTTTGGAGAACTTTTTGTTGGCAGATATTTAAATGACGTTTATCAAACAGTTGTTGTTTCGTCATATTTTACCAAACTATTATCAATTTGCCCTGCAAAAGTTATCGTGAAAGTCAGTAACCCAGTGGTTCTAGAGAAGGAAGTGGCAAATTTGCACCAACAAACAGACGGACAGACAGACTGACGCCGGACACTCTTCGATCAGAAAAGCTCACGTGATCACGGGAGCCTTTGGCTCAGGTGAGCTTAAAATACAGATACCTGATTAACAGCATCTTGAAGTTGTGTTAGTCTATCTGCCATTGTTTAAGAGAGTTACCGTTCTTTGCTGCTTTTACTGCTTGGATGTCCTAATTTCAGGTGTTTAGAAATAAGACACTAAATATCTTTGTATAAAAGCAAATAACTACCAGATCGTTTTAAGTTGCTGTTACTTTAGTATGTTTGATATTATACCTAAATATATTTTAAATTTGCATAAAATTTAAAATTTGCCGATTTCTTTTAAAAAGAAACTTTCAAACTTTCTGTAAAAAGTCAAACTGTTGCTATAACATTGATGCTAAAAATTCAGGGTGAAGAATAATTCTTATCATTTAAATAAATTATAAGATTTTTTAATGTTTTATTTTATTTTATTTTGTTAGCTGTATAGTGCAAGATTTAGGAAAATACGGATTTTTTTAAAAATATTACCTACACGTTATTTAGACATCTATAAATTTTACCCACCCTGCAACACTACTTCCTTTCTGAAGAAATTCTCAAACCTTACGGTGGTGTGACTACGTTTCGTGTCAAAACAGACTTAAAGTATGACTTTTTGTTAAGATTTCCAAATCCTTTTGTTTTATTCACCCTTACTTTAATAATTTTTTCACGAAAAACAATCATTACGCCCCCAGAAAGTTTCTATTGAAATCAAATTGAAAAACCACGTGGTTTATGCACGCACATGTAGCCTCTAATTAGTGACAAAGTTTATATGTTTAAATTTTTATATTGATTTCCTCAATATTGTGATTTAAAACAAATCAATACCACTAATTTTTTCATACTTGTATTATGAAATGGTATGTGTTTAAAGAGTCAAAGACTAATATGTTTTACGGTGTGACCGTTGGGGCACAATAGTTCTCAATTTTATCAATAAAATCACTCGATTGACCAAGCCATGAGCTATGCGTTAGCATAGCGAACAGGAATGCAACGCGTTTTTGGAGAAATCGACCAATTCGCTTTTACCTAGCTGCAATAATGTAGCCCTCTCCAATTTTTTTTTCTTTTTTTTTTTGGGGAGAGGGCTACAACTCCTTAGGATCTCCGTAATGGTGCAAGTGCGGGAGTGATTCACTACCGCACAGATTTCGGCTCAAATTATCAGTAACTGGGTATTTTATTAACGTATCTTACCTGAACTCATAAAATGTAGTTATGCAGGACATGAATTGATCCAAAAAATACAGAACAATCCGTATATCGGTTATTTTTCGTGTATGTCAACATCACAACTTGAATTTATCCGCCATGTTTACTGACCTTGATCGATTTTATTTTGGGACAACCAATGAGAATTTGGGATCTAGGGGAGCGGATCCGTATGGATTTCCCTTATTATAAGCATAAATATCACTGTTTATGATAAAAATATCACGTGGAATGCTTTTATTTATCGATGTTTAGTTATATCATACAACACAAACATTTATCAACACCGACATTTACATTATCAAGTGATTCTAAATTTCAAGCGCAAGTCTCAGTACATCACGCGAGAACTGTCATGGCTGCTGAGGTGAACGACTGGAAAACACGCAGATTTATTTTACTTGGTTTTCGCGTATAAAGGGCTATGATGTTGATAGTGAATAAAAATTCCGTCTTATTGGAAGTAAGTTGAATGCAAAAACAATTTATTTTGCCTGCAGTCGCCCGTATCTAAAAAATAAATTTGCACCAATACAGAGATGCAGTGGAATTGTAGCCCTCTCCTGAAAATATCAGATTAAAAAAAAATCGGAGAGGGCTACGTTATTGCAGCTAGCTTTTACCCACCACTTATTCAATACAACTCGTCAGCATTCATGTCAAACGACATTTCTCTACTAAAATTTTGCTTTCTAACCCTTCTCGAATGCTGTCAATACCCACTTTCTTCGATTTCGCATAAACATTCGTTTTACCGTGAAGCCATTGCATGACGTCACATCAAACCCGAACCTGACAGTTGTACCATCAAAAAGCTATAGCAGCTTACACTTGTAACGTTGATCCGCCTCTCAAACTGTCAAACCGCACGAGACACAGTCTAGACCGTGAAGTCACATGACGTCGGAATTTACGGAGACAGCCGAGTGTCTGGTTGAACGAGACCAAAGATCTTGTGCAATAATAAATGAAATACGTTGTAGAGTAGATGTAATTATTTTTGATTTCTTTTAATTTCTCTGCAAAGAAAGAAAAGTAAACGTATCTCTCGGTAATGAAAAATTATCCTTGGTCTTTTGTATATTTTGTAAGAATTTCGCATGGAACCCTGGTAGCGAAGGAATTCTGGGAATGTTGCACCAGAAAATTTGACTGACATATGTACAGATTTCATTCCGAATTTCCTCTGTTCTTACACGTTAGTCTATTGAGCTCGCTTCACAAGCAGCGCTGCTCGCTGCGCTTGCTACAACAGTAACAGGTCTATACAATCACTGTATTAAGGTACAAGGGATTTATCTAGCGATTTTATTTGACTACCCTTTTTACGTAAAGGGGGTAAAATGAGAAGAAAAGCTCCATATTAGCCCTTTACTTTACCGGTCCCCAGAAAGACGCGCTAAAATATAGTGTCGCCGTAGGCGACTTCAATATATATGAGATTGCGTGAGCGACCAAAACAAAAATTAAAAGTATGAAGTTTTAAGCCTTTTTGAGCCCAAAATTGAATTCTATGGCTAAAAGTTTAATTTAAAACGAAGTTTTTAAACTTGTTCTCTGGAAAAAAGCAATAAATATTGTTTATTCAGTGAAAGAACGACAAAAATAAATGCCAACGAAACGCATGCGCAGACTTGTCGAAATTTTGAAATCACTGTCAGACATTTGGTCTGACAAAGTCAAATGTTCTGCTGGACCGGACGAAGTTTTGTCAGACCAGATATACGTTCTTTATTTTGACGCTGAGAAAGTAAAATAAAAACTGCACTAAAATGCCGTTTATTATTTTCAACAGCCTTCAATCTCACAAGTTTCTTTTCTTAGAATAGAGAATCTTTAATCAGAGACATAAATGGCACGTTTTATGTCTTTGCTGTAACAAATTTAATCGACCATCGTCACCACACGGCCATTTCTGCTGTTTCTGTGACTTTCACCTGCGCACCACAAACCCGATCTTTTTAAAATTTGCTTCACTGGAGATTTTTTTCAAACGGTCATTTGGACTGACATTTTCTTGAGAGTTATTGGTCCAGACAAATTTTTATCGGCCTTGCCGACAGGACCGACAGATTTCAACAAGTCTGATGCGGCGCATGCTTAGTGTCGTTTCTTTCGTACTTAGACATTTTTAGGTCACCTGAGTCACTCAGGTGACCTATTGCTATCTGTTTTCGTCCGTCGTCGTCCGTCGTGTGTTAACATTTGAACATTTTCAGCTTCTTCTCTGAAACCGCTGAACCAATTTCAGCCAATTTTAGCATATGGCATCTACCATAATTTTGGGGGTATTCGTCGATGGGGTGTATAGGTTGAAAGGCTCATTTTCAGCCGTAATTTTTAAAAAAGCCCTTATCAGTTGAGTGACGTAAATCTTAAGCATCGTGGAATGAGCGTGCGGATCTGAGGTCCGGGTGGTTTCACCTCAATTACCTGTTTGCTCTGAGTGGATTTCTTCATGATGTTTATTTAAGCAAAAGTCATTTGATCAATGGGTGTTTAGATTAACATAATTAATGAGCAACTCAATTGAATTCAATTATTAGTTACTGATCTAGCTGCAGAACTGTAGCGTTATGGTTTTATATTTTAGTTTTTGACCATAACGCTACAGATCCCGTAATGTAAATAAAATGCTATTTACGGCCCAAGATTTACTGCACACTTTGGGGATGTATTTCGCCACTTTCCAGCATTGGTCGATCAATGACCTTTTATCCCCTAATTCTTGACACATTCTATAACCAACCTGTATATTTTATCCACCTCCTAACCCTTTATAGTCGTCTCTACAGACCAATAAACTCACTTGATGTAAATTTTATGCCATACGACAAATTCACAACAAGCAAGTTTATTGGTCTTTACCAGACTCTCTGCTAGTCGGAGACGTGGGCAATAATATCCTTAAGAGTTGGTCACCCACAGGCAAAATTAATCACATTTGCAAGTGGGCTAGTGGTTATTTGCAATCCTGACTAGTCCTGCTGGACTAAAGCCTAAAAAAGTTAGTGTTGAATACAAAATAAAACTACTTTAATAAGTAAATAAAGCTCTGTAGGTTATTCAAGCTATAGAGCTAAATGTAGTGATTATAGCAGACCTGTTTAAATCATTTATGATTAGATATTCAGTATCAGTATTTTAAAACGTCAAAATAAGAAAGTGGTTGAAATTATTTCACGTAGGTGCAAAAACGAGAGAAATATCAACTGTGAGCTAAATTGAAATTTAATGTCACATATGTCACATTTTTAAATTCCAGAATGCGTTACGTAGCGGCCTACTTGCTTGCAGCTCTTAGTGGCAACAGCAATCCCTCTGCAGCTGACCTGAAGAAGATCATTGGGTCAGTAGGAATTGATGCAGAGGCTGACAAAATCAACAAAATCATCAGTGAACTAAAGGGAAAAAGTATTGAAGAACTCATCACTCAAGGTAATACTACTGATTTTGCCTTAACTTAGAGAACTTAATAGAAATCGTATGAGATGTCTTGTTAATTTCTTTTTATCATCCCCAATTGTAATATGCTAGATCAACAGGTATCACTTATGTATGTGTATATTTTTTTTCATAAATATGTGAAATAAAAAAATCAACTGTAATGATGATTTATTGGTAATACAAGAGACTTTGTTTTACAGGTCAAGAGAAGCTTGCATCTGTGCCATCAGGTGGTGCAGTAGCCGCCAGCGCTCCTGCTGGAGGAGCCCCAGCTGAGGCAGCACAAGGTACAGCACCAGTCATCACAAATCTTTATTCTTATTGGTTAACAACAATCAAACAAAACTTTTTGATTTAGAGGATTTCTAATATGATCAATTTATGTAGTGCTGACACAACATGTTACACAGCATTGATCTATAGTTTGGTTTATTAAGAAGTCCTGTCATTCAACATAAATTCACATTTTGGGAATTTCTATATTCACAGAAAAGAAAGAAGAGAAGAAGAAACCGGAACCAGAATCCGAATCTGACGACGATATGGGATTTGGTCTCTTCGATTAAAAGAAGACTTTATATGTCATTCACAAATAAATCGTAAATCAAGATGTGTATTCTTGTGAGTTAAGTAATAGTATGTGATGGTACATTACAATTAGGAATGAAGTGGAAAAACTTGATTGAGGTGCATCAAGAGATGATTTGCCAATAAAACCAAATTTCCCCCAGGATTCTTTTTACAATACGCAGTCAAAATACTATTATATAAGTTGTGTTTTGATTAGTTGAAATTTTTAAAAGGACAATAAACACTAAGTAAATGCACACATTTAAGAAATTTTTATGCCCCAGCCATATAGTGTTACCCTGTTCCATCATTCTGTCATTCCATAGTCATTCACTTTCTGTCCATTATCTCTGCAACAGTTGGTCTCCCGCATGGCGCAGTGGTTAGAGCGTCTGCTCTAGAGTCGCGAAGCAAGGAGTTGATCCTTACCATAGGCACTCCCCAGCTTAATTGTTAAAAATATATATCTACTATACTATAAACATGTTTATAGTATAGATCTAGTAGATATATATTTTTTAACAATTAAGATGGGGAGTGCCTATGATCCTTACGTCGCGGGTTCGAATCCCACTGTGGGACGTGGAGACCGGTCCTTTGGATGAGACCGTATAAACCGAGGTCCCGTGTCGCAGTAGGTGCTGGCACGATAAAGATCCCTCACTGCTCAATGGCTGTAAGTGCCGAGTATAGGACAAAATTTGCAGCTCTCCACCGGTAAGTGGTGGCGTCTCCATATGAGTGAAAAATTTTCGAGAGGGACCTTAAACAACATACAAACAAACTCTGCAACAGTTGCACACATTCAACTCAAATTTACATGGATACATATACGTCAGAGGAATACGCGGGTCAAGTTTGAATTTGGTCATGGTTCGATGATTTTTGACAGTAGCTCTCTTGAACTTAAAAAAGAAGAAATTTTCTGTTTCTGCTCTCTAACTTTTGTAGAGATGTATAAGGTTGAAATTGCATATGCAGGTATTTTACCAGAAAGTACAGGAGGTCAATTTAAGTTCGAACACAAAGAAGATGGGTGAACAAGGCGGGCAAAGTGCCTATAGTGCGACAAACATGAAGTGGAAAAAAATCAATTACATCAAAATTTTCTTTGATATCTCATCTAACATTAAAGTATACTTTATGTAAAATCTCTACAATTTACAAAAATCTCACAGACTGAAATTATTTGCCTACGAAATAGCATACACACACTAAAGAGGACAAAAAGGATCATTTTTCTCAAACTTAAACATACTCGTAATTTTTCGATATGAGTGGGTCTTCGCTCCATTTTTTGAAAGTTAATCCTAAAAGTTTGCATAAAAATATACATTTTTTGGTGTACAAAAACATGAAGCAACGACCCACCATACCTTAAAACTACACTTTTATGACAAAACATTCGCATCTTTCTGAGAAATACTTGAAGTCCATTAAGGCAAGGGTCAAATCACGAACATGGTTTAAATGCCACTATTCATCAGGAACTGTGTAGCGTAGTGGTTAGCGTGTTAGTCTCAAAGCAATATAATACTCCGGATTTTTATTGTTAGGGGTTCGAATCCCTTTTAATGAAAGAATAAATTTTTCCGAGTTCTTTTTTTATCAGAAAAGTTTCGTTGATCATAATTTCATAAATTTCAATAATGTGAACTTTACTTTAAATACTTAATTCACAAATTGAATATGATTTTTTTAAATATCTCAAGCTATAGGCATTCTACACAGTCACAGTCTGACCGACATTTCCCCCCGCCTGTTATAATAGTAACTATTTGAATTGAGAGAGGTTTGATCGTCCCACCCTTAGGGAGTAGTCCTATTTTGAAAATTTTACAAATTTTTGATTCAGTAGCAATGGCAACACAACTCGTCTATTTGAGAATCTAATATTAAGGATCATTTATCTTAATGAAGCGTACTTCTAATTTTTTTAATATAATTGGAATAGGATTAGAACTTTGAAGGGGAAGCATTTTGAAAAAGAAATTCTCAGAAATTTCTAATTTAAGTAGAGTTGTCAAATCTAAATTTAAGTTACTTGTTACTGGTTTGCTTTTCCGAACGAGTACTAGAACACTCGTTCATTATTTTAAAAAATATCAAAATTTAAACTATTTTCACGATTGTACAGTGTTCTTAAAGATTTATTTAATTTTAGAATCAGAGTCTAGAAAAGGAAGAAGATAAATTATACATATTTTTAAAAAATATAAATAAACATAATTACCAAACTTTCATTTTTGATGTTATTTTGGAATCCATGCGCAGATTCAGTATTTTATTCCAGGGGGGAAGTAATCCCCCCCCCCCCCCCAAAGGAATTGGGGCGCTTATGGAATGATTATCTATGTCAAATGAAACTTAATTAAATTCATTCATCAATTTCAAGGCAAAAGTTTCTCCCATGAATACACATCGTCATTAGCTGCAGAACTGTAGCGTTATGGTTTTATAGTTTAGTATTTGACCATAATATGTCAAAGACTAAAAAATAAAAACCATAACGCTACAGTTCTGCAGCTACATCGGCATTTGATCCGTAATCCTGGTAATGTATCATCAGATCGTTTGCCTGACAAATTTTTGTTCTGCACAGAATTTAAAAAGTTTAAAAACTATTGTTTCTCCGATGTTGATTTGATGTTACTGGTTTAACTGTTTAACATACATGTTTTCCATCTGCATGGTGTATAATTCAGGCACAGAAGGTAGAGTTTAAGTATATAGGTGTGGTACGTTCCTGAGAAAAGAGCACTGCAAATGCTTACGTTAAAGAGGTGTTAGACATGTCAGAAATACACCGAATCAGAGACATGCTAATATGCTAATGAATAACAGTGTACTAAAAATGATGACATTAAGAGATCCTGATAGGACATGTCAGAAAAACACCGAATCATAGACACACATAACTGAAGGTAATAGAAGTGAACTATATAAATGATTGGAGATATCCTACAATTGCATTCAAAGACGCATTGTATCAGAGAGGCATTCTACTAGATCTAAGAGGACGGAATGGTACAAATGCTTATGTAACAGTAGACGGACCAGACCAGGATTCATACCCGGTCCCCCTGAATTTCCAGTCAGTGGTCTACCAACAGCATGAGCTATCTGGCCACAGGTGATCGTCTGACCGCCGCACACCTCCCTTAAAAGGTCTTTGGCCCGGCCCTGAATACACCAACCCAGGCTCTTTCCTGCGCGTGGCAGGTCTTTCACTGTCACATCCTGGTCACGGCACCAAATAACAGGAGAGAAGAAAAATGCTACGGAACAGACCGGGATTCGAACCCAGACCCCCTGAATCTCCAGTAATAGATCCTCTCCAGCTGAGCCATCTGGCCACGGGCAATGAAACCCGATCTGACCGCCACATCCCTCCTTCATTAAAGGTCGTCCGCCCCCGAAGACACCAACACAGGTGGCAGATCTCCCACATGTCACTTCCAGGGCATGGCACGGCACCAAATGTAACAAGAGAATCTCCAGTCAGATGCACTTTCTACTGAGCCATCTGGCCACGTCTGACTGCATTCCAGAGCTCCCACTGGAGGGAAAATATTTTTCGCCACTTTTTGCAATGAAAGGAATCGCATTCTTACATCTCGTCTCGACAAGTGTATATTCTAAACACTCCACTAATAGCACAATTTCAATTTACATGTAATATCACAGGCATTGTTTTATGATTGTAAAATTTAAAGTTGTATCCACTTACAAAACTAATATATATGAATTTTTTCTACATTTATACAATTAATTTGCAGATACTGATATTAGCCAACTCTTGAAAGTAGATGCCCTCTTGTTCATAATTTTTTTTAGCCCTGGGAGGGGGGTTACAGACTTAGTAAAGATATATGATATATTTTTTAAAATTGAAAAAAAATAATATAAAAATTGAAAATTTTAATCTTATCAACAATTTATTATGAAAAGAGGTAATTAAAATCAGGTTTAAAACTTGGCCTAATTTAACAATTTGGACATTTGGTGTATGCATATAAATTCATATAATTGAAAATAATTCAGTGTATTTGACAAAAGTATTGTTTCCAAGCCAGTATCCCTTTCACTCTTTGTCAGTTTATGGTATGATGAACACAATATTTTGCCTTTTAAGTCTTTAATCAGGTAAAATTAGCAGCCATGCTCTGCAATTTTCGTCATGTTTTCCTACTTTCGGTTTAAAAAAACAATCTATATAGATCCAGATTTTATTGATATAAATCTTTTATTAACTAACTTCATCTCCCAAAAACACTTTGTCTTTCCTTGTTTAATCCATCTTACATTATTTCAAGTAATTTTGTATCCCCTTACTGCTCCAGGCTAAATTAACCTAGTCAGCTGTGTGCGTTCAAGCGAGACGTGATTTCCTACATTGTTTTGTAAGTTTCATGGAGTTTTCACACCCTGAATTCACACGTCTGCTTGCATTAAGGACATACGCAACGTAGTTTGACCTTTATTGTCATTTTCCCTGGAGTTGAAGAGTTCCAATACTGAAAGCAAATGTGTGCTACATTTTAATGTCTATATATGCCGTTGTACATTTCTTCTAAAACAAGTTTGGATGAACAAAACATCTAGAATATATATTTAGTAATTTTTGTGTATTTTTCTTTGATTTATACGAGAATTTTCATCTATTGATATCTTTTCAAAACCCCTGGTAATGCATGCTGATTTTTTGTCTACGAACATCTGATGGCAATATAATCTTAAATTAAGAATATCTTGAAAAATTATCAGTAGGTAAGGTACGTTGCGTATGTCCTTAAATAAACAAAGGGGATAATCTGTATACATTGAATAAACAAAGGAGATAGCTAGGAGTACACACACTTTCGTATAGTATATCTTAAAAAAAATCCATTTTCGCCACTTTTGAATTTCTTTTCGCCACTTTTGGAAAAAATTCGCAATTGGCGCAAATGGCGAATCACAGCTCGAGCCCTGCTGCATTCTATAGCAGCGGGGTAAGGAGCCACTACCTATATGTATAACGTCAAGTAGGTTTGACCTGTAGTCAGGAAGGGGAATTGAACCCAGGCCTCCGCCTCGATCGTACTCATCAATCTTAAGACGTTTAATATACAAGAAAGAAATTAATTAAATATGCTCTGTAGGTAGTGATTGTTCCTTCGCCAAGCCGCTGGCATTAAAGTAAGAAAGACTTTCAGATGATCAAGACCTTAAAAACCGAGGTCCCCGGTCACGATAGATGTTGGTATTCCTCACTGCTACAGCCGTAGGCGCTATAATCAATGGTCGAAATTTTTGGCACTCCACCTATAAAGGAATTGACATCACTACATAGGTGAAACATTTTCGAATACATGTAATCTAGAGTCGCTAGTTCGAGTCTCATAGTATGAGACCATGTATCATGTCGCTGTAAATGCTTGCACGAAAAAGTTTCCTTGCTCCAGATGATGTGGTTAGGTAGCTCTTCCTTTGACTTAATTTATTCTCAGATGATGAGTAAATGACGGGATCACCTGTAGGTATCCGAAGACACCTGTTGTCCAGCTCAGAAGATGGTCGTCTACGAATGCAGTGGTTACAGGTACTCACAGAACTCATAGAGGATAGGATCTTTGATAAATACTGAGAATGATAAAGGACCGATATTTATTACGGTTTCTCTAACAATTAAATTGAGAGGTCATCATAAGTGAGAACAAATGGAACGAATAGAACCATACTATCAGTATGATTCCTATAAAACTCGAAAGCTTTATACAATGATTTTCCAGCGATTAACAGAACAGAATAGAACAGAACATTATTACATTAACATTTCGTAACATGATGAGTTGATTTTCAATCTGGTCTTTTTATATACCTGTAAATTAAAATTTCCATAATAGTTTTACTTTCACTAGCCTATGCAAAACGTGCTGTTTCCATTCTCGTCAAATATGACATTAAGGTATGTCACTCGTGAAATTTGTTATATCAAGGATTTTTTGAGAAGTATATTTTGAATAAGTACTCATATAGTATGACTCAAAATCGCTGAGAAAATGGGGGGGGGGGGGGGCAGTGTGCATCTAACTGAGCTACGGTACAATTAAGTTGACCTTTTTGCACTTAAATTGTAACTCGTTGGTTAATCACTTTAACCGTTATCATATTTTATTATATACCCAAGAGTGTATCACTCAATTTTACTGTAGATTTCGTACAATCACGTGACGGTGTGATCCGACTTTCCGGATCACCACACTGTGGTTTTCTGAATCCGTATCACCCCTTTCTGAAATTGATGACGTAGTACACAGAAACATGACGTTATTTTTCATGCGCATCAAAAAGTTCCTAGACAAAATGCTTTGTTTAATGGAAAAATCTTATATAATTGATCTCAAAAGTTTTTTTAAAACTATATTTTGCTAGTTGTAAGGGGGTATATAATAAATTTATCATTATAACAGTAACTTGATCCGAAGAGCCGTATCACGTCTCGTTGACAGGCGCGGATCTTCAGATCAAACTCGACGCTTCGAGTCTCGTTTGATCTATTAAAAATCTAAATAGGCAATAGAATATTTTCTTGTATTGTTACAGTATTAGATTTATTAATTTATTTAATAAATCTATAATGTATTTCATATGTTTTTAAATTGTAAATATAAATGCATTATTAAATCTTTAAAGGTCACCCAAGTAGAACAGGCAGTACCTGTACTTAATTATTATTGCCTTGGGTTATGAAGGTTCTGGTCTTTGGTCTTTGGTTTGAAGTATTCACTGTTTTCATTGGTTTGGACTTTGTAAGGTTGTGTTTTATTGGTTCAGTATTTTTCCCTCCAAAAAGTTGTTTGTTATGGTCATTCTTTGTCCAGTATTTGTCCAGAGAGGGTTGTATTTACGAAGTTTTATAATTACGACCTTCTGACATTGACAGAGACAATACTTTTCTCTATTAAGGTAAGATAACATTTATATACTAATTCTAATATGATTTCTAATATTTGATTTAACTGTAAAATCTGTAATTTTGCCAAAGTTAATTCCATAGCACTAGCACAGTCAGAATCTGATTTGAGAGACAGTAATTAAGGAGTAACTATTTTATTGAAAGTATTTTTTATTTTATATATATCTACTAGATGTTTTTATGATGATAGGTTTACTTATGTAAACTATGATAATTTGTAGTTTTATGATCTGGACATACGTATACAGTGAGCCATATTGTGACTACAATGAATGGGAGAGGCTCAGTCCCATAGATTGGTATGATATTTATGATATTGATGTTTTTATATATTTTATGACAATCCTGAAATAGTAAAATCTGTGTAGACATTATTGCAGCATATACATCAGTTTTTGTCGTATATATGTTTTTATATTTTTCAAAGCGTAATATTAAAAGGGGGCATTGATTGTATGTAAATCATTTACAGAGTTACCTCCCTTTATGCAGCGTATCTGTTAACCGCAGATTGTAATTACTATATTGATATAGATATATCAGAATATTTTATGCTATGTATTTATTATTTGTTATTATGATTTTTCAGGGCATTATTCCAAATACCTTCATTGTTCCATTATTCCAACTATTCTATGTGTTCATCTGTGAATGTAATAAATGGAGATGTCAGTAGAACCCTGAAACGGACTTATTTATATTTCCACGCTCCAGATTTATAATAAGACACCGTTACAGTATCAAACTTTTTACGACTTAAGTGCTGATCGGTGAAAAGTATCGAGTAGTTTAAAATAATGAAAGAAAAAGTTGGGGTCAGTGATGTAAATTTTGAAATATTGGTCAAAATATGGATTTTCTGGCAAAAAACTGTGAAAATTTTATCTCGACTTCTTTAATATATCTTCATTTTTTGGCAAAGTTTGTTGAGCGAAGGTGTAAATTTTGTTATAAAAATATAAACTGAGACCTATATTTAACATTCCAGGCAAATCAAAACGGAAAATATTCCCTGAGTAAAAGTATGTGAGGCTAAAGTTCCAAGATATTTAATTTAATAAATGTGTAGATTTGCAGAATTTCCTGCTTAATATCCTTCCACCACAAGAAATAGTCCCTTACAAATCTTGCTTCTTTATGAATTTTTGAGCAGTTTTTTAATTGAATGTTGAACATTTTAGATTGCATGTATAATTGAAATATAAAGATTGAATTGTAATAAATAGTTTTTAAGTAAGAGGTTCTGACTGAACTTTTCTAAAAGGATGACGAGTGACATACCTTAAGATCCGCCTACACTTTTTCAGCGAATCGGAGCCTCCCACATGGAAGGAAGTTGATAGAGTTGTCTTTCTTGGGACAGATGTGTCGCGCACATAATCAACTTCCTGAAGAAAAGCCGGCGTTAGACTTAGAAACGTGGAAACAGTAACCACTCAAATTTTCGATGAAAATCGGGGTGCGAGTAATGCTGGCACGCCTCCAGCGTCAACTGAGGTGTGAGGAGTCACGTTGGCTTCTACTTTCAGTTTTGTTTTGTCTGAACTTAAGCGTAACACATGCAATCGGTGATGTCTTTTGGGCTGTGAATTGTGGAGGAGAAGCCCACACCGATGTTCATGGGATTCGGTATCAAAAAGATCCCGCTCAGGTGGGAATTGCATCAGACTATGGGAAAACTTTGATGATCGATAGAGTAGTTCCACAAGATCAGATCCTTTACCAAACAGAAAGGTATCACATGTCCACGTTTGGATATGAGATCCCCATCAAAGAAGATGGTGATTATGTTTTAGTGCTGAAATTCTGTGAAGTTTGGTTCACATCTCCAAATAAAAAGGTAACTACAAATGTTATCTGATTGATATTAGAAAAACAAGGAGAACTCCCCCCGATTCCGCTTCAGCATTAAAAAAAAATCTCATAGATTTGCATGTTGAAGCATTGGGGATTATTTAAGTTTATATTCCTGGAAAATGTTACATTGTCTCATTTATGTGTATTATACAAAAACGTGACTGTTTCACACTCAATGGTTCCTAGGATATGTATTTTTGTACATGTACCTACTTGTCATGTTGGTCACAATCTCTAGATTATCTTCGTAGCAGGTATTCAACTCTAATGGCCTTAGCCAACAGAGTTAAAAGTGTTCTTCATCTGTCTATCTTTAAGCAATTTTAAAGAGAAATGTGAAAGCATTCTCAGATTCCACCAATATGTGAATTTTCAAATGGATTGCTGAATTATGTTTATGAAAGTATATGTCATATAACAGTGATGAAAATTGTACAATGATTGGCTCTATATTTACATATAGGTATTTGATGTGACATTAAATGGTGAACACACTGTTGTTGAAAATCTGGACATCTACAACAAAGTGGGCAGAGGAGTTGCTCATGATGAAATCATTCCTTTTTCTGTTAGAAATGGAAAATTAAAAGTCAATGGTGAAACCTCTAAGATAAATGGAAAAGTCTCTGTCGAGTTTATTAAGGTATATTTTATCTCGTTTTAATCAACACCACATAATTAATTTTTATATTTTTCATAATAGTGAAAGTAGCTCAAGTTTTCTATCGATTTTAAGTACCATTTATCAATGCATAGTGATTAATAAGTAATGAGAGAAAAATATTGCACTGTATTTGGTTACTTGTATATGTTGCATGCAAAATGAAACTTGAGCTTAAAGAAATTTGAATAAATCCATAAATGTTGAATGAATATAAAAGGTGACAAGCTGGAGATGAATTTCAGTCTTCATGTTTTTTTTTTTTAGGGTGAATATGACAACCCCAAAATCAATGCAATGTATGCCATGAAGGGCACAGTTGAAGGTAACACTTTTTGTAAAAGTCTAGTTTTATTCCAATAAGTATAATATTTGCATCAAAATATGGAAATTATACTCTGAAAAATTCTATTTTGAAATAATTTTGTTATCTAAAAATTGTTTATGTCAAACTAAGACAGTCTCTATCCTGTTGTTTTGTTGAAGTGGTTTATAATAACATGAATTGTGTGAGAGGCAGTGTACATGTAATGATTATGGTTCCATTTATCTTAAATGGCTTCACTTTCTTTAAATATAAAGATGTACCAAGCCTAGCCCCCTTCCCTGGGGCACACAGAGAGCAAGAGGAGGAAGAGGAAGAAGAGGAAATCAACGAGTCAAAGCCCACAAAGTCACGTCGCCCCTCTGGACCCAAAGTAGTGGACCCCTACTCCGAGGACGATACCAGCACCATCCTTCTGCCTGTTTTTGTTGCTGTAGGAGCATTCTTCCCACTTCTGTTTTGTTTGTGTAAACTTTGATCAAATTTAGCACTTTTAGGTCATTGAGTGTATTTAATCATTTTACAAGGTTTTAATCATGCAAACAAAAATATGAAACAAGGTTATATAATTTAGTCCCAAAGAATGATTTTTTTTCTGAGTATTTACATAAAAAAAGAAAAATTAAGGTAATTTAGGGAGGTTTACCACGCCTGGAAAAGGTTATCCAAATGTATAGCATTTAATATAAATAAAAATAAAGTATTTAATATAGTAAATTTTAGTTTTAAATACTATGAAATTCATGTTCATATATGCATAATTAAATGAAAAATACAGCACTTGTAGTCTTAATCACTGCCAAAAAAAAAATTTAGAATCCCTTGTTGGGATGTAATCACAGATGGTCAGTTTAATAAGCTAATTTATACTTTAAAGCTACAAGGATAGACAGTATAAATGATTAGTACCATTGATATGAAATGGACCATTAGTACTTCATCTCTATTTGTGATGTACACATGAACTTTCTTTTGAAAAAAAAAAAAAACTTTGACACTGTGTGATGCCTCCTTAAAGAAAAAAAACATGATATTTGATAAATATTCATCATTAATAAATTTTTTGAATTTATCAAGTAGGATCATTTTTAGATAACTTGGGAAGAACTGTCATTCAAGAGTGGTCCCATGTAATCATTGTACATCTGCTCAGACCGCTTTATGAATGTCTGTCATAGCCCTGTTACCATACATCTCAGGTTTTTACATTACACCAATCTCACCTTGCCATACTACATAAAGGAATTACCATTTGTACTGTTTCTTATATAGGATGTAGCGATCTAATTTCTTATATAAAAGTGAATATTAACAACCATATTTTTTATACATTCATTATAATACTATCAATCCTTTTATGTGCGGTATCAGTCCATTTGATTTTAGTCAAAGAAATGATTCAAATACCTATGTACATTGTAATAACTGAAAAAAGGCCTTACATGCATCAAGGGAGAACAATACCATTTGTCCAATATAATTGAATATTTTATGTAACTTTGACCATTTCTTAAAAGAAGATGGAGATAAAAAAAAAATAAATAAAAAAAAATGTGGTACATGTATACTATAAAGGGATAAATTCAGTGTATACCATACAGGGGAAAATTTGGGACAAACTGTTTTTGAAAGAGGAAGTGACTGGCCATAGTTATCTCTCTTTAGAATGAAGATTTTTGCTGTAAAAATGGAAACTAATTTAATTTTAAAATCTAACACTATCCTTTCTGATGGTTAGAAAAAAATGACATGAATAACCTATAGTCTAAAAAACAAACTGAAGCAAATTAGGTCAAAATGTGAGGTTTGTGAATCAGCATTAGTTACTCAGTTGTTGCATCTCAACTAAAGTATTGCAGAGTTACTCATCTTGGTATATATATATATATATATATATATATATATATATATATATATATATATATATATATATATATATATATATATATATATATATATATATATATATGTTGTAGAATCATTCCAAATTTATTTTGCAAAGTGAACACCGGTATACGCTTTTCAACCCATATGAAGAGGTTTTGTAATTTAGTGTAATACAAGGTTGATCATTCTGTGTCTCTTTCAGATTCCTTATTTGTCTTTGTATGAAAGGTTGATTGTAATTATTTACATGAATGTAACAAGTGTTTGTTATTGTAGAAGAGGCGTCTTTTCCAGCACAATATAAACAGCCATTTTTTCTGTGATTTTCTGTCATTATTAGCATTTGTAAAAGATTTGTTTGCTCATCTTGGTATTTATGTTTTCCCCCAAGATTACAAATATATAATAATTTGTCAAGAAGTGACCTTTGAGGAGATGCAGAATTTTTGCAAGGAAAAATTATTGATATCACTTACCATGGGTCATCTTAGTGTGTTTTTTAATAAGTACATTTCAATAAATTTTCTTTATTTATTTTTTTTTTTTAATTAATTGTACGTGTATGTTAGTTTGGTTGTGTTAAGTGTTAGTGTGAGATTGTCTACTCATTTCTATTATGATAGGTTAAAGTATGTTTGCCATATTGATAATGATCTTGTTGGACAGTGTTTTCTCTGAGTGTGTACTAGTTGAAGTATAATGAAGTTTTGTTCATTGTGACATCTTTTTACTGGAACTGAACAACCTCAAGTCTGTGTTCAGGTCAGAAAGAATGGGTATTAGTGTGAAGAATGTGAATAACTTATTAACAAAATAAGCAAATGATTAATTCGAAACCAGCTTTAAAATCTTTGTTATTGTTAGCTGGGTATAAGTTTGATATGAATGTATATCCCTCAGGTCCATAGGCCCAAAGAAACAGAGAGTCCTGATTATTTATTTTTGCCAAAGCATTGAAAGTTGTCTTTTTCAGTAAAACTACAACTAATTGCAAGGAAATGTGCAATAATCTTTATTCCATGAACTGTTTATTCCTTTCATTCTGTGATGATTCACTGAAATACTTAAACTGGACAATATATTACATCCTGTTTACCTGCTAGATCTGTTCAAAGGTCAGCATTTCTGAGTATACCTGTCTTGTAATTGTGATGTCATTATTCTCTGTTCAATAATTGGCATTAAATATGATGTCATTATTAGGTATACAGCCAACTGATTTGCATATATTCATCATTGGTGTGAATTCTTCAGATAAAGATATTCAAAAGAATGTTTTCATTGTATATTATTTGTTGAGTTTTATTTGATCAGTCATTTAGCCAACTTAAAGGACAATTTTTTATCTTGTCCTCTAAGTTTGGTGAATTTTGCTAAATGTCAGTACTGAGCTCATATAAGCCATATTTTTCATAACATTGTATTTATTCTGTACTTATAGATGTAAAAATAACTTAAGTTTCCTTAAAAAATACTATAGATAAATTGTTTCTATCACCATCAGGTTTACCAAGACCAGAACCACTACATTCGGTGATTTCAACTTTGTATTTTGTGTCACGGAAAAGTATGTCTGTATATTTACTGTTCCCGCTATGTAGACAACTGGGGACTTGGATTTTAAGTTGTTTTACCCAATGTGAAAAGAGGCCTGAGGGATATTTATTAACATGTTGTGTTTTTTTTGTGTTTAAGTGGACCATATTTTGATGAAATTGTTAATGTGCAATCTATGGTACTGTGTACAGAAGGCTATTACAAAGTTTAATATATTCATCAAATTATGTGTATGTGTTTTCTGTATAAAATGTAGCTTTGCTATTATCTTTAAAGAAAATTAAAGGAACAAATTTTATTGCTCACATTGTTTGGAATTCAAATGGTGAAAAATTTTGGACAATAATTGTCAATTCACTAAAAGCTGACATACAGTCAAACCTCGTTATCTTGAACTCGAAGGGACCAAGAAAATACTTCAAGATAAATGAGGATTCAAGATATCCAGGGTAAAGTACTTAAGGAATAAGTAGTTGGGACTTCAAAATGACTTCAACATATCCATGTTATTCGAGATATCCGTGTTCAAGATACCGAAGTTCAATTGTACTTCTTCACTATCTGATTTTGAACCCAGGGTTATTATGTTTCAGCTATTGCAAAGCATATTGATTACATAAGTATAGAAACAGACCATATTCAGTATATAGTCTCCACCATGCAGATATAACAGTACAGGTATGTTCTCTTCTTACTGCAGGTAGTTATTCCAACATTACAATTAACAGTGGGGATGAAAACTGTTACTCATGTCTTTCAATCTAATTGCTGTACATTGGTTTTTGATTTCCAGGAATGATATTCCCAAGGTAAATAGAAATATCTGTGATTTTAAGGTCACCTGAGTCACTCAGATGAACTTTTGCTGTTCTCATTTGTCATTGTGTGACGTGTTAACATTTGAACATTTTCAGCTTCTTCTCTGGAACTGTGGAATAAATTTCAACCAATGTTGGCATATGGCATCTATGGGTGAAGGGAAACAGAAATTCTGAATTTCATGGTCCCTGCCCCTCTTGGGCTTGAGGGATGGTGGCTAAAACCATCAAAATTAGTGATATCTTTAAAAATCTTTTTCTTTACTCCTGGACATCAAGCAGTCAAACTGTTGGCATGATTGTAATAAGCACTGGGTCAGGGGGGTCTGGAGTTGAGGAATTAAGTGCATGGAAGTAATTCCGATTTGCTTTTCACCTATGACAATAATCAATTACTGTAATGAAATATGAAGATAACAAGCAGTAATCAAACTCAAAAGGTCACTGAAACACTACAAATTTGGAGCAGAATAAATAATGCAATTGGTCAAATTGAATGAAAGAATTATACAAGAAATTTTAATGTATAATACAAAAAGTACTTTCATAGTTTTTAAAGGTCCTAGAGGCTTGTTTATATAGATAAATAAAAAAGGAGACAAAAACACCCTTTCTTTGCACATTATTTATTCTTCAAAGACTAGGAGAGGCCAATTTGTGAGGAAATGAGAAGAGTGTACTCCATGTCCTAAAGCAGTATTGTATTAATAAGTCTCCATAATAATAGTGACAAACGGAGTGTATTAGTACTGGCAAGTAAACAGATCATTACTGAATACTAGACTAACTATTTTGTTGATGCCTGATCATCCTTATTCTCTTGCTTTGGGGCAACATGTCTTCATCTCTAAGTTTGTTTTGTTTTTTTCATATTTCAGTGATCAGAATCATCTTTCACAGTGTTGGATTTTACTCAGGTGACCAGTGAGGCCTTTGGGCCTCACGTTACTCCCCGCAGTTTTGTTTGATTTTAACAAAACTTGGTAACATTCAGACAAACAAAAATTCAGAATACGTAATTCTGTAAATGTTTTTTTCAATGGGACTTGAGGCAAAAAGTGCTTCAAATCCCTTCGCTCCTTTTCCCTCATTATAAGCACAAACGAGTAGAGCTACAATTTCTTTGGAGACTTTTGGTGGGAAATAATTTACCATACAGAAATCAGGTCACTTTACCAGAAGGTTTACGTCTTTGAACTTTGAAGACCTTTAACCCAGACTAGTGTCGAATCAAGACAAAAACCACAAGTCTCTGATGAGACTGTAGCTCTACTGGTCTGTACATATAACAAAGGAAAAGTAGCACTTGGATTTGAAACTTTGCAATAGGCAGCAATAAATAGAATTATGTATCTTAATGTAGTCTACTTGTGTGTGTGATGTTATATTGAAATCAAACGAAAACTTAGGAGGAGTAGAGTTTTGAAAGTACTTCACAGAAATTTCTATTTTTAGCAACCATGGCAACACTATTCATCGAAATCAAAAACCATTTCATCAAATTATGTATCTTAGTGTAGTCTACTTGAGTGCCAAGTTATATTGAAATCGTACCAAAACTGTAGAAGGAGTAGCGTTTTAAAGGAATTTCACAGAAACTTCTATTTCTAGTATTTATGGCAACACCGTTCATCGAAATCAAAAACCGATGCACTACATAACGTACCCTAGTGTAGTCTACTTGTGTGACAAGTTATATTGAAATAAAACCAAAACTGTAGGAGGAGTAGCGTTTTAAAGGAATTTCACAGAAATTTCTATTCTAAGTAACCATGGCAACATCGTTTATCGAAATAAAAAACCGATGCACTAAATTTTGTATCTTTGTGTATTCTACTTGTATGCCAATTTATATTGAAATCAGACCAGTAGCATTTTAAAGGATTTTTTTTCTATTTCTAGTAACCATGGCAACACTGTCCATCGAAATCAAAAGCCAAGTCATCAAATTATGTATCTTAGTGTAGTCTACTTGTGTGCCAAGTTATATTGAAATCAGACCAAAATTGTAGGAAGAGTAGTGTTTTAATGGAATTTCACAGAAATTTTCTATTTTTAGTAACCATGGCAACATCGTTCATTGAAATCGAAAACCGATGGACTAACTTATGTATTTTAGTGTATTCTACTTGTGTGCAAAATTATATTGAAATCAGACCAAAACTGTAGGAGAAGTAGCGTTTTATAGAAATTTCACAGAAATTTCTATTTCTAGTAACCATGGCAACACTGTTCATCAAAATAAAAAACTGATGATTGCAGTTTAATACGTATCTTTGTGTAGTCTACTTGTGTGCCAAGTTATATTAAAATCAGACCAAAACTGTAGGAGGAGTAGCATTTTGAAAAATTGTTTACAGACGGACAGACACACAGCTAGACGGACGGACGACGGACACCTTACTATCGCATATTAAGCTCTTCTGGTCTCTGACCAGTAGAGCTAATAAGTTTTATTTCAAAACTTTAAAAAAAATGAATTCTCGGAGCACTGTTCCTTCATAATTTAATATGATAATTATATTGTCTATAAGTCGAGGCTAAGTTCGTGGACAGGTATCCACTTTATTGAAAATGGCACAAAGATCTCGGTTCTTTCTAATCTACTCAGCACTTTTATCAGTCCTTGGCTTTCTAGATCTCAGCAAGGCTCTGTTCTCCAGGCTCACTCACTGATGTATAGCTAGAGCAATCCTATTTTCCTAACTTTTTATACCGGCTTCTAACAGTTTTTCACTTGCTGGTTCTTTCACCTCCTTCTCCACATCGTCATGGCCGTCAAGGGATTTGGAACAACGGGACACAAAGAACGTTATGATGGCTGCCAGTAGTTGTAAGATTCCTGTGATGTAAAACACATTGTCCCAACTACCTGTCAAATCTTCAACCCAACCTGTAACAAAAAGTACAACTATACACATTTTGTATCGTCCAATTTTCTACTGAATGCTGGCAAGACTCAATGCTTCAAGTTGTGAGGACTAGTCATTTCAAATATGAACATAAACCTTTTTTTTTTTAAACATTTACTTACCTAAACAGGGTAATCCGAGAAGGCAAAATATGGCTATAAAGATAGTTACTACAGCAAAGGCCGATGGAAGATTTTTTAGTGAAACAGTTTCTAATAAAATGATGGACATCAATGCATAAAAAGAACCTGGGAATATTCCAATGATTACAGCATAAGCATAGTACAGAACTTTCTTTCGAACAAGGGGCACAACAAAAGCTGAAATGCCACTGACGCACATACACAATCCGTAGACATGGCTTGGTGAAAGAATCCTCAGATCGGTAAACCAACCCATGGCTACGCGTGCAAAAATTTCACACGCTCCTGTTAATGAAAATATAAAAACAGTGGTTGCTTTTCCGATATTTTCCGATTCCAGAAAGGATGGAAAAGTATAAAAATACGCCGAATAGCTTAAAGCGGACAAGCAGAATGCCATAGAGATCGACAGAAATGTTAGGTCCTTCATAATGTTACTGTCACATGCACAGAACTTTCGGCATAGTACTTCTTTGCATGAACCGTATTCGTTTTGCTTTTCTTTTGTCTTTATATCAACTGAAGAATCACTGCTGAATTCGTATGGTTGTCGTATAAAGGAAGCTGCCACGCAAACATTCGCCATTACACCACCCAGGACTAACATAGCACCACTAATTGCGTACTGGTCAATAAGTATGTGGTATATATGCGGGAAAAGAAATCCTCCCACACCACTTGCAGACAGGACAATGCCATTCGCAAGTGCGCGGTTGTGTTCGAAGTAATAGTTAATTAGAGTAGAGCAGGGGACGTAGGCTAAACCACAGCCAATTCCTGTAATGAAAATCAACTTCCAGATCATGTCTAAATCATATATATATAAAATAATTCATGTACTTTTCCAGGCAATGTATTTAATTAATTTTCCATAATTCAGTACAATGAACTATTGTTTATTTATAGATTAGTTAACAGAAATTCACTTCGATTTTGGAGAAGCTCGAAAGGCTTACCTACCAGTGATTAAACTGTAGGTTATATACCAATACATAACATCATGGGTGAAGGCACAACTAACGTAACCAATACAGAGGGCCACGCCCCCACAGAAACATACCAGACGGAAGGAATACCGTGTGGCCAGCAGAATGGCGAATGGACCTGTAATATAAAAAGAATACCAATAAGGAGTGAGGAGCTTTTTTACAGATCAATTTCACCCCTGCTTATTCATACTCATTATCAGAGCTCATATTGACACAATTTTGCTTATGAATGAGGGAATGTAAAATCGCTAATGTAATTGATCTTCAATCAAGGTCTAACAAGTTAGAGTGTAATAATAGTTTTGTGACTTAAGAGTTTTTGTGTGAAACATCCAAATATATATATGTTTATCAGAAGACCCTGTCGGAGTTATTGGAACTGTTTGGACAGCTCTAATTTGGTCAAATTTTTAATCATTAAAAACATCTTGTAATTTTTTTTTTAAATCATATTACTGTTAGATAGAAACAACTTTATTTAGCTGTAAGAGGTAAGAATGTGTTTACCCGTCAATGACTGTATAAAGCTTGCAGCACTTCCAATGAGTGCGGTACTTCCGGCTCCACTGTTTGTTACCGTTAGGATCTCGGAATATAGGACTCCAAAGGACTTAATAGAACCCAGTAACAGCATGTACATAAAGAAACACGCTACAAAATAAAATAATCATTTATAGAAAAAGGATGCAACACAAGGTTGTTAGAAGGTATTCGAGATATCGACGTTCGAGATATCGAAGTTCAACTGTATAGAGGTACACGAAGAAGCAGATTGTAACAGAATATTTGAAGACACAAACTGAAGAACAACGATTATAAATTGTAGACGCAAAATAAGTAACATCACAAAACCTTCACAAGTAGATCATATAGAAGGGACTATACGAAAATGCTTTTAGAATGAGTAATTGGCGCTTATAAAGATACAGGAAGGTGCTGTACATAACGTTGTTCGCACGTATAGTAAATTATATATAGGTGTTTGTACAGTACAAATTATATATAGTTGTTTATATACACAGTAAAAGACTGTAACATAACGGAAAGAAGAGGATTACACGATTTAGGACACATCCTGTGACATAAAACGCTGATATATACACGTACATATTGATGAAACACAGTTGTTGCAACCACTTTTGAAATAACGACCCCTATTGAAATAATTATTTCAATAGTGGTTGAGAGTGCATTTCAAAACCAACACATGTTGTAACCACTATTGAAATAACGTTCACTTTTGAAATAATTATATCAATTGTGGTTGAAAATGCATTTCACAACTGAACACAGATTGCAATCACTATGAAATAATGTTCACTTTTGAAACAATGATTTCAATAGAGGTTTTGAATGCTTTTCAAAGCTTAAACCAGGTTTCAACCACTATTGAAAAAATCTTGACGTTTGAAATCAAGATTTCAACAGTGATTGAAATAATGATTTCAATAGTGATTGAAATAATGATTTCAATAGTGATTGAAATAATTATTTTAATAGTTGCTGACAATGATTTCAAATGATTCACCAAAACTTCATTGCAAGCCTTATTGAAATAACCCCACTATTGAGAAAAATATAAGGATGATTTTTTTCATTGCGTTTTCCAACAGAATAAATTAATTTATTGAGTTTAAATTATGATGTGTAAATTTATTCTTCCTTTTTTTTTTCTAGAAATTAGCATTAATGCACGGACATCTCGGATTTAACTGACATACAATGTATGCAAATGTTATAAGCAAGCTTCCGCTGAAACTGGCCAACTCGGCGAAAACCAGCAATATCACTCAATATATGCAAGTTTTAAGTACTGTAATTTTGTTATATAAGGTTCATCTTTGCCATTGATTTGGAAAGGAAAGGATCATAAATACAGTATAGTGGTAAAAATTCGAATATCTACATTTAAAGGAAGAAGGAAGACTGATATGAATGTGTAAAAACTTTCTGACGAAGATATGGTTATTTTTAATAAAAAAGAATATAGAATGGAACTAAATTCTTGCTCATATTCATGGGCTTACCTACACTACAAATATGGATAGTAAATCCAACGTCTACTCGTCAAGACATTGAAAAAACAGAACTTCAAGGGAAGTTAGTATAAGCATTATTACAATAGTGGGTTTTATTTCACGTATGAAACCGCTGTTTAATAATATCCGCTATTGAAATAATCATTTCATAAGTGATCCTTATTTAAATAGTGGTTGCAGTAATACTACCGCTATCAAAATAGTATTTACTATTGACATAATTTTTTTAATAGTGGTCATTATTTCAGTAGTGGTGGGAACAATGCAAACACTATTGAAATAACGACCACTACTGTCATATTTTTTAAATAGTGGATATTATTCAATAGCGGTTTTATACGTGTAACCACTATTAAATAACACCTCCAGTTATATAATGCTTATACTTAGTTTTCCCAAAGGGTTGATTTTAAATTATTGACGAGTAGAAACGTTGGATTTACTATATATCCATATTTGAAATGTAGGCAAACCCATGGATATATGCGAGAATTTATTTCTATTCTATATCCTTTTGATTAAAAATAACCATATTTTCATCAGAAAGTGTGTACACATTGATATCAATAGATGTTTTCTCTTTACTGTAGATATTCTAATTTCTACAACTATCTGTATTTATAATCTTTTAATTTGCCCAATTAATATCAAAGATGAACTTTATACAACAAAATTACTTAAATTTACCAGATCAGTGAAATCACAGATATCCCATCTTCACTAGCCAAGGGTTTCTGATACGCTACTCTCCTCATAAACCCTTGGCATAAGGTGCTGACAAAAAGACGGGATTGTTTTCGTTACGTGATCACGATTCTTACCAGGTACGCATAGATTGCGTCATCGACAGAAATAAAAATTAATGTTTTTAAAGAATAATTAACAAGAGGGTATTGAGTTGTGTTAATTTGTTATTTAAACATGTTAAAATGCAAATTTACATATTCAGTATTGATTCTTAATCACATATTTTGCAGATATTGGATGACACCATATAGCTAATCAATAAATATATTTTTCAATCTGTACAAAAATTTATAAGAGATTCTGGCAGATTCAATTAATTATTACAGCCTTACACTAAAACTCTAGTTAGTTATATATTTATCAAGTAATGAATGTATGTTTAGAACAAACATGTTTGTATATCAATATTTTTTTTCTCTATATATAGACCTTGACAGTTGTATCCATTTATGGTGAGAACCTCGTAAGTTGTTAGAACTTGTGTTCAAACCATTTGTATATTATTTATACAATAAAAATATGTTCAAACCATAGAATGGCATGTTATCTTACGGATCGTTGTTTACTTGCGTTTTTCATTCCCGATATATATCCCGAACGCAAATATCGTCATTTACAAAAAACAATTGCTGATTGGTCAAACGATGTCGATGAACTCCAATCACAACTTGAGAAAAAAAATCCCAACTTTTTTTAACACCGTATGCCAAGGGCTTATGAGGAGAGTATCGTATCAGAAACCCTTGGCTAGCGAAGATGCAGATATCCGTGTATTATTAGAATTTCTAGACAGAAATTAAAGCATAAAATTATAAATCATATTTTAAACTCAAAAAATTAATTTATTATGTTATAGAAGACTTTTCAATAAGGCTTGTGGTTTTGATATTGAAATCATTGTCAGCAACTATTAAATTGTGTGAACGACAAGACATGATCCATACACACTTTTAATTTGCAACATCCATGTATTTCCTAATCGAGAACTGGTGACATATTTCCAACCCACCAGCATTATATAATATTTGATAAACTATAATCTGTTTTTTTGTGACACTATGCTCAAAAGTGTGCACGAAATATGTGTATTTTAATGACAAATTCACTGGGTATACTTAGAGATCTTTATATTTGATCTGCGAATTTTTCAAACAATTCTGTTGAATTATTAATTCTGGCAGTATATATATATATATATATATATATATATATATATATATATATATATATATATATATATATATATATATATATATATATATATATATATCGCAATGTATCGATTGCAATTTATTAGACATGAGAAATATTACTTTGCAACTTCGAAAATGAGGTAGAATTTGGGTGTATTTATGGACTTGCTTGATAAGTATACATGGCAGATACAGATTGGAGTGTCATGCTCGCTATTAAAAAAAAAACCAGGAGTACAATTAACAATGGAATTCGGGGGGGGGGGTCCATGCACCTTTGTATTTGCGACTTCAGAAAAGGAAAGGCGGCCCACCCCATGTCCTCTTCTAGAGTATATCTAAATATAATATCGTGTGTGACCATTCCTTATGAAATAACCCTTACTCCTTTTATGAAGATTTTCGACATTAATTTGCCTGTAATTCTTTCCCTTCTCACTGAAAGAAAGAACCCCAGCCCCCCCCCCCTTCCTTGTCCGAGATTAAGGTGAGTTACTGTTGTAAATAATATGATCGCTCTACCCCGCTCTAATTTTCTGGATCCGCCACAACGTTGTATAATTATGCATAACTAGGCCGGGGGAACACTTTAAAGAAAAAGAATTATGATGAAAACCAGAAACATGGAATAAGCAGGGAGAAAATAAACATGCACCTCAAAATCAGGTGGATGCAGTTATATATGGAGAGAGAGAGAGAGAGAGAGGCTGAAAAAGATTATAATTATTTGAATACAATATACAGAAACAATGTATAAAAGCGAAGAAAAGGAAGTTTTTCAAAGTACAATAAACAGGATGTGTATATGTTTATACACAAACATAAAAAAGGGAGATTGCTCATGCTGTGTAAAAGGTAAATACAAGGTTTTACCTCCGAGTATTACCCAGGCATATCCTCTGTCAATGTCCGGTCTAACACCCATAGTCTGCTAGATCAACCACAAAATAAATGCTACAACATTCTCATTGTCTTTGTTTATGTAATACCTCGTCTCTACACTAAATACGAATACGGAGCTTCTAACGACAGTTGATTAATCTTTATTCGATGTGTTTTTATTTCGTGTTCTTGAAATTCTATTACAAATTTGAATTCTCAAACATGTTTAAACATTTGAATAACGACCCCCTTCTCACTAATCCTTTAATTCCTATATATACTTAGTGAACAGTGAAGAGATAACGAAACATTACTATATTCATCAATTTTTTAGTTAATATATTATCAATGTAAGCATCCCCCCTTTTTAAAGAAATGTCGCAAGTACTTAACTTGTCTTTAAAAAAATCTTTCATGAAATTTGCATACATATTTCTTCAAAGCGAAGTTGCCCATATCTAGTATGCTTGTCTTTCCACATCAAGAAAAAAGGGATGTCGATGGTTCAGGAGATGGAAAGCCTAGTCAAGTTACCAGTATTAAACATAGGGGACACTGTGTAAATACGTTATGCACGGTTAGCGTATTCCTTAAGTAACGTCCTGGACTGAATATATTCACATACATGTTTATTTTCATTTGATGATGCGTGTTATCTTATGCCTTTGTCAAATTGAAATTGTTTCCTTCTCAAATACATGTATGAGTAACATTTTAGACTTCATTTCATCATATGGCTAGTCTACCCAGTCGCGGATTTAGGGAGAGGGACAAAACTTATGCTACTAAAATCATACTTTTGAAAAGTGAGTCTCTTTGTTATCATATAGCTTATCATAAGCACCCCGACCCACCCACCCGCCCCCTAAATTAAAAAAAAATAGATCGAGAACCTGGTGCACCTCTTCTTCCAGAGTTTCGTTAAAATCCGCTATAAATATTTCAAAATAACCTACAGACAGACATACAAACAAACAAAGGTAAATGCAATTTAAGGGCATTGTTATACAGAAAATATTAATTAAAGCAATTTCTTTACTTAATTAGAACTATGACTATATTTATAAACGAAGAAGACACTTACTGTACTTACAGAAGAGACCTTACCTCTTTATAGTTGATTCTTTTTTTGTCTAATGAAATTTAAATGATAAATCGTGTTTTTAAATATTCATCGAAGTATTCGGTGACCTTATAACCCCGGGACACACGAGGACAAAAGTGTGATACAAGACAGGTAATATAAGTAAATTATATACACAAAGTACATTTGCATGTTGGGTAACTGGGGTCACTTATGCATCCATGTTACACAATCTCCCCCTTATACAAGATCTTCATAGATACACGTTTCTGTGATTACAAACACTTTAAAACAACACTGTGGTTTTTAGATTTATTTTACGTCATTTATTCAAGGGTTTGTTTTAAAAATATTGTACCCCTTACAGTCTTGTACGGTTTATGTTTATTTTCCTCCCGGGGCAATACTTCGAGTGTTTGGGTTTTCTCACAACGAAAAGATTACGTATTTCTAATGTTGTGTATTTTAGAATATTTCCAAGACAGAATATGCATGTTTATAGATATAGTATATGCACTGACCATTTCCAATCCCTATAACTCGTATTCTTGATAAAATACCTTAACACCTCTGCAAGATGTCCTATATCAAATGCCCTGATTGGGCATGTAGTTGAAAGTATTTGCTGAATTTTATATACCATTTCTTCCGATTCAGAAGAATTCACTTGGTTGAAATAAATCCGAGTCCCTCCCTGGTTCTTAATTTCTGGGTGTAATTGTCCATAATTATATAGTACGATTCTGTTGTTAATGAATATCATAAAAAATAAACGTACTACAGTTTCAGAAAAGGGAGTTTCAAGTGTGTAAAATCTGGTTCATTTCAAATATCATAGCAATATGTGTAGCAATGAATAGGTATATAGAGTATATAAAATGTTTCATCTTCAAATTAATTCATAATTTCTTTGCTAGGCCTGCGCAATCGTTGCTTGGCCGTAGGAACTGGGGGGGGGGGGTGCCTTACCCCACCCAATAATTTGATATACTAGTATTTATAGTATACTATCGAAAACAAAGAGCTCTACCTTATGGATATGCCCTCCTTTTTTTATTGCTTGTCAAGGAATTTTTCCTTGGTATTGCCCACTAAAACTAAAAATGTTTGTTGTGTCTCCCTCTCCTTCCCCAACTGAAATTGCTTACTATACGGGCCTGCGTTGGCATAAAATATTGCATTGCGATACGTTTTTTTTCAGTACTGATCGATATACTGGCAAAATGGTCAGAAGTGATCGAGTTAAGTGCTTCGAAAATCCTACTACAAAATGTAAAATTTAAAATGTCGGAAACGTTTGTGATCGTGCAAAATAGTAAGGCAAAAGCTGATGTATGGGAGCATCTCAACTTCATGAAAGATATACCAGTAGGTGGAATGCTGCACTCACGTCTATTGTGTAAAGTTTTGTTAAATGATTCATTTTCATGTTTATATTTTCAATTAAAACCGTAGCTAAATCAACATAACCATTTTAATATTTATTGAAAATATAAGAATACATATCCCAGTATGAAATTTGGAGGCCAATACCCAATCCTACATCTTCCCATACATTATAAGATTAAAATTTCACCCAGTTTTACACTCAGTCTGGGCTCCGACCTTATTTTTTAAATGGCTGATAAAATACATGATTGAAAATAAAAAGAAATTAATCCTGCCTGAATATCAATGTATTTAAACTTATAAATTTGATTTTATCTAGAGGCTTTTGGGACGTGTTCTCTTTTGGCCAATTACTAGTATTAGGGTGGGACAAACAGTATCTTTTACTCAATGTTGTGGATGGGGATTCCATTTTTATGCCCCCGTAATCGAAGATTCGGGGGTCTATAGTTTTTGCCCTGTCCGTCCGTCCGTCTATATGTTTGTTTGACTGTTTGTCCGCAAGAACTTTAATATTGTCCATAACTTTTGATTGGTTGGAGCTATAGTTTTCATATTTCACATATACATTCCTTGTGACAAGACCTTCCTTTGAGTACCAACATATTTTACCTTTTGACCTTGGAGTTTGACCCACTTTTGTAAAAACCCAACTTTTACCCAACTTTAACCTTGGCCATAACTTTTGAACAGTTGGTGCTAGTGCTTTCATATTTCACATGTGTATTCATTGTGAAAAGACCTTTTCATGGGTTTAAATATTTTTTATCTTTTGACCTTGACCTTAGAGTTTGGCCCACTTTTTAAAAACTTGAACCTTGGCCATAACTTATGAACAATTAGTACAAGGGCCTTCAAATTCAACAGGTATATTCCTTGTGACAAAACCTTCCTTTGGATACCAACGATTTTGACCTTTTGACCTTGACCTACTTTTGAAAAACTTTAACCTTCACTTAACTTTTGAACAGTTGGTGCTAGGGCTTTTATATTTTGCCTTTGTATTTCTTATTACAAGGTATTCCCCTGCGTACCATTAATTTTGACCCTTTGACCTTGGGAGTTTGACTTACTTTTAGAAAACATTAACTTTGATCATAACTTTTGAATGGTTGGTGCATGGGCTTTCATATTTACCAGGTATATCCATTGACACAAGTCCTTTCTTTGGGTAACATTATTTTTGATCTCTTGACCTTGATCTTGGAGTTTGAGTTGCATTTGAGAAACTTTAACCTTCGCCATAACCTACCATACAGGGGCATCAGTGTTTCACAAACACATCTTGTTTCGTCTAGTTTCAAGTTTTCCTCTTTAAATCCTTAACCAAGAAAATCAGTTTAAATAAGTGAGCAAATCAAACAATATATAAGTACCTAATTATGGAAACTACCTAATATTAATTTGTAAATAATATTGTATTTTATGATGAAATGGGAAACAGTTTCATACGTGAATAGTAATCATAACCGAGAAATGAACCCTCAAACTCCAGGTTCCTCCTTTTTTCAACAATTTTGACCTGACCTTTAGTGCAAAACGGTCTCCTGATCGGTTATATAAATTTATTTATACATGTATACTAATTTTTTTTTCAATCCAGAAACCCTCCTTGAAGACTGAAATGAACTGTATAACCCCCCTCACCCCCAAAATATGAATCTCACCAAGTCTCAATAATCTCTATATTTCAGCTATATTCATATCAAGACTCAGATACATAGTATTGGGGGTGGGCCGGGGCTGCCCCCCCCCCTTTTTTTTCAAAACAAACTTTTAATATTGAAAATCTTCACTGAAAGGCCGGTTGCCCTCCCCCACTTTTTGTTGCAGCATAGTCAAATTACCCCCAATGGAATGTATTAATGCAGTTTGCTTGTGAAAGAAAGTTAGAACCTAACGATCACCATACCCCCCCCCCCCTCCCCACGAAATGGAATTTTCAACAATTAACCCCCCCTTTTTTTTTTTGCTTGTTTAAGATATTTATCAGATAAGTTGTCTAATATATTTTCTGGCTGCCCCCCCCCCCTCCTTTCACGTTCAAAAACGATACTAACGATATGTCTAAGACTAGCATTGATTTTTTCATGAAAATACAAGTATTCTTAGAAGTCTTATGTATTTTGCTACCACCCCCCATTCTTAATTTGTGTTTCAATAATATTACTTCTTTCTTATTCTTAACTCCACTTTGCAACGTACATGCAGTGTATTTCAATATCCAAAATGTATTGGTATATAAATGTTTATGTTTATGTATTTTCTTTATTGAAAGTTTTAAAAACTAAAATTTTAAAGATCAAGTTATGCTGACCCTCCGATTATATCCCTAGTGAAATATCATATCAAATCAAGAGGTTCCACGTGACACTAACACTAGTACTGAGTAGATTTTTCACCAACTCGTCGGAAGGTTAAAATGTGGTCATTCGAGTTTTTGCAATAATAATATTCATGAAATCTTTATTGACCATTAAAAATATCGTATATTGCATATCTTGATGCATATGGACATGGGTATGTGAATATGATATTTTTTTCACACACATTCTTACATCAACAATATCTTAAAC